TCTCCCCAGTACTCTCAAGTCCAGCTGCAGAGATAATACAAACACTCTTCTGTACAATGATGTATCAAGAACCAGGAACGGAAATAAAAGGAAAAGCTGACCAAACTCCTTCTCCACAACTGCCACATGAATTCAGGTAAATGTCAGAAAGTTTTATGACAGTCATTATGTTTGAGAAGGAGCAGATTTCTGCTCATGAGAAAAATGGGTTCGGCCATTTTTTTGGAGAAAGAGAGAGAGAGATTACAAGACCAGCCAAGTGAGAACTAGGTGATCATTGGTATAAACATACATGAGAATCTGTCAACAAGAAGGCAGTTAGGGAGGAGTCCCTGGGACACTTGGTTCTGAATATTTTATGCATGTACTCTTCTCCTTGCTTCTGTGGATGATATTGTAGTAAAACACCTGCCCTCATTTCCAAAGCATTAATTAAATTAAGGAAGTTTAATTACTTGGCTGGCATCAGTGTGGAATGATGGTTGACATGACACCCAAATATTTAAGATGGAAGTTCTGTCCACAAGAAGGGCAGAGAGACCAAGTGTGGCAGTGGGCTCCTGGTCAAGAAGGACCATGTCTGGGAGGAGGCTCAGGCACACTGCCTCCTAACTAGGCAAGGGCCATGAGTGGGATTGTCGCAGCTGACTCTTTACAGTCGCTATATCCCTGGGGATCAATATCCAAAGCTCCTCATTCAACAGACATTTTTAGAGTCCTTCTGATCCCTGGGCAATGGAAATCTTTACAGACTGAGACAATAGGAGAGTCTAATCTCTGACCCTCTTGGGTCAAGTATACGCTATGCAGGTTTCTCTACCTGTTCATGCTCACCTCCATTTTACATACCTTGGGCACAAGTACACATACTCCTTTGCTAATTATTATTAACAATTATGTATGCTTGTTAAAAAATTTATAAACAAAGGAATCTGTAAATAATTAATGATATCGGGAATCCTGATTCCAATTTGAAGTGCGAAAACATCATTTATAAAATCAAACATTTAGAGGTATTTCATCTTTAGAGTTACTGAGTGTTTCTTGCTCTTTACTTTCTGTTCTCCATATTTTACACAGCAGAATCTGATATCTTCTCTGTGATCAATTGTGACTGATCGATATAGACAGATTTTATACTCCCTTTTTGAACTTTCATAACCATCATTTACAATTTTCACACAATAGATTCAATGTACTTTTTTTTTCACTTTGGGAGACTTTGGATGGAATTATGGTTCTTCATTTTCAATCGTGTTGTAATAAAAATACAATGGCAGTTAATGGCAATAGAGTGCAATTTTGTCCATATCTTAGTAGGTTTCATTATATTTCATCCATAATTTAATAGACGTAGCTAATGTCCCATGTTAATATTCACCTAAATTTATTTCTTTAAGGACTTCAATATTTGCATGTGTTCAGTAATTTATTTTACACTTTAATTCTTTTAATATAAACTTTCTTAAGCTATATTTTAAAATATACTATTTGAAAATAAATTTACGACAAGATCGAATTATAATATCACTCTTCAGCATTTAACCCCAGTAAACTTCAAACATATAAGTAATGGGTAAAATATACAAAGACATAGCTGGACTCAAAAAAAAAGATAAAGTTTTCTATGTACCACAAACATAACATGATAGGTGGACTGGAACCAAGTGGCTCTATTGATTTATGTTCATAGTAAGTGGATAATTACTCTTTTGGGTAATGAAAATTAAAGAATTGAACTGGAACTGATCTTACAACACTCACAAAAGTCAACTCAGAATGACTTAAAGGCTTAATGTAAGAACTAAAACTATAAAACTCCTAGAAGAAAACATAAGGGGTCAGCTCCTTAACATTGGTTTTGGCAATGATTTTGTGGATTTGACACCAAAAAGGAAGATAACAAAGCAAAAATAAACAGGTGGGACTACTTCAAACTAAGAAGCCTCTCTTTTTAAAAGGAAATGGTCAATAAAATGAAAGAGAACCTATGGAATGAGTGAAAATCTTTTAAAATCACTTATCAAATAAGGGGTTAATATCCAAACTATATAAGGAACTCATATCACTCTATAGCAAAAATACAAATAATATGATT